TAAATGTGAAATAATAACCTACCCAGAGAGTGGAGGAACTAAATGTGAAATAATAACCTACCAAGAGAGTGGAGGAACTAAATGTGAAATAATAACCTACCCAGAGAGTGGAGGAATGCTATATGAGCGTCCAGAGACGTATCAGAAATACGACAGCCTAGGTGCATCTCCTGAAGCTGAACCTGCGTCTTGGAACAACGAGGATTGTCCAGGATAAAGAGTTCCTTCAACTCCTGCTTCGTGAAGTACCTACAATAAGTCAAAACAACATATATTTTTACGTTACCATTGCTGTTGTCTGATATAAAGCTACCTAATTCATATTGCATTGATACAACACTAAAGCTGGAATAATATATAGGCATCACCAAGCATGTTGATCAGATGTCTCAGGTGGGATGAGTGCATATATTTCACGATGGCTTAATTAAGGCAACCAGTTTATTGATCCGAGCGACAACAACTGTAACTGCAATCTGAGATGTCATATGAACACATATGTTTGGTATACTTTTTACTAGATATCTATAATTATCTATGATACTTTCTCCAAAAACAGAACTCATCATTACCAAGCTGTAGAATGAATTTTCATGACAATCAGATTAGAAAAATAAGTCTTTAGATCTATGTCAATGTTGAGGACTTGTACAAATGATCGGGCAGTTCCCTGAATACCCTCGATGACTTGTTGCAACGGAGGGTGGGGGAGCAGTGGCGGTGGCCAAGTGGTTAAGTCGTCTGACATTCTGCTACCACTAGCCCTCCACCACTGGGTCGCGGGTTCGAGACATATGTGGGGCAGTCGCCGGGTACTGGCCGTAGGTCGGTGGTTTTTCTCCGGGAACTCCGACTTTTCTTCACCACCGCCACCTGGTACGTCCTTAAATGACCATGGCTTTTAATAGGACAGAAAACACAAACAAACCAAACCAATTGTTGCAACCGTAAAATAACTGCCTGGAAAAGAAACATGAAAGTCTGACACATGCAGGAGCATGGAACTATGGCTTCACAGTGTAGTCAAATCAACAAGAAGCAAAACTCCTTTGTATACAATGATGCCTTTCTCGTATGATATAAACAAAATGCTTTCACTCTAGATTTCAATTATATATATATATGTTTCTTATCCAAGCATTTATCTTACCCTTGCAACAGGTCATCAAGAGTATATAAGGATCTGCCCGTTAATTTGTACAAATCCTCTACAATATCATTGATATGAAGATTTTATTTCTTTAAAAATCAGATTGTCATATTCAATCTTTTTAAATATGATTTCACCAAGAAAAAGTAGGAAATACATAGTAAGTATCAAAATAAGTTTCATACAGGTTTCTTTGGCAAGTGTGAAATAAAAAACTCAACAAAAATAAAATTAGGGTCTCTAATAGGGATCGTACAAACATTTAAATTTGTAACATTTTTGCAAGTGAAATATAGGATTCTATCAACTTGATAAAACTGATATCTTTCACACTGTGACAAATATCAAAAGTGATAAATATTACTTTTTGGTATTGACCAATCATAACGGTATCTTCTATTCGCTGCATTTAAAGGCAACGCTTTTTTGTTCAGATTCAAATGAAGCGTTGGTAGAATGGGAAATATTTGGTACACACACTTAAGTATTTACATAACTATACAATTAATAACATTTTTATAAGCAATCATACCAGAAAATGTCGGAATTGCGTTGAGCATCCCGTTCAAAATGGCGCACAGCCTTGTTGTCAAGCGTGACGTCATTAGAATATGGCGCTAATAATTACGCTTCTGATTCCCGCCCCTTTTTAATGCATTACATTTTTATGTTAAATGCTTTAAAAATGAAAATTTAATAATGTCTCCAGTAATAACAAATATATTTCACAAGTGTGGCTAATATTTCAATATTTTTCACTCGTGCTGCACACTCATGAAAAATATTTGTTATTACTGAAGACACCATTAAATATCCACTATATATTGAATTTCCTTTGTCCCATGTTTGACTCCAATTTGATGTAACATACACCCAAGTCTGCGTATACAATACATTTTGAGTTTGACAGATGCACATACCTTTTTCATGCCTATGATAGGGAAAGTATTGTGTACTGTTTTTAATTTGATTCTATTGGAGTGAATCATAATTATGATGAATTGATACGAAGGCCAGAATTCTCAGAGTTGAAATAGCAGCCTGATCATTACTTTATTACAATGATATCACAGATTCATCCAGTGATGTCGCACATGTATTGCAGTGATGCCACTTAAGGATCCCTGTCCCACTGCACTAGCTGTGATTTTTTTCTATATACAGTAACCTCCCCTTAATTACATTTTGGATATAATTTAATCTTGCTTGTAACAAGCATTTTCATTGGCTTAAAAATTTATGTTATCATCCCATAACGTAAAAAATGACATCGTCGTTTGTAACGTCGCTTTTGATTGGCTGATACAGCGGCGTAATAATTTCTAAGAGAAAAGAGCCCATCAATAAAAAATAATATCCACATAGATTGTGTATAGTAGATTAAATTATAAGGGTTGACTTGAATATATTTTTCATGTTATGGAGCTATAACACAAAAAAACAGAGTGTACCCTCATCATAAACGGCTTCACAGTTTATTTAGAGTACACTTCGGTTTTTTGTGTTATAGCTCCATAACATGAAAAATATATTCAAGTTAATCCTTAAATAAATGTAGTGCAGTGGGGCCATGCGAAGGACATGGATCTATGGACCAAAGCTGCTGTGATAGCCTTTCCTCATCCGGGAAGCAGTCCGACCTTGAGGCGTGACATGGATGGTCCACGGACACTTTGAATCACCAGAGGGCCTGGTAGGCGGCAACTTACCCCCTCACGTCGGGCGAAACACAGACTATCGATCGTCAATGAAATGCAGACGATAAACCACTCAATCAACCAACCAACCAACCAACTGCTGGGCCACTTTTGTCTTCTAGATAACCAAACAAGTCAGTAGTGAAGTGGATGTTTATCCACTCAAACAAATGTTGGGACACTTCTGTTGACCAGGTAGCTCAGTCAGTTAGTGCAAATAACACAACAATCATAAGTACAGCGTTCAAATTCCAGTCTAGTCTTACTCATTTTCTACACTCAGAACACTGTTGTCGATTCTACTTTCTTAATTTAATCTTTATTGTTTTTTTTTCATAAAAAGTCCTGCAAGAAATGGTTTTCCTTTCAGAAATGTTTAACTCATTCATCCCTGAAATTGCATAATGAACTATTCCAACCTTTGAATTGGAAGAGTTCAAATGTGTCTTCAGGGGTGAATGAGTTAATGAAAGTTACATTCATGTCGTAAAAAAACAGTTTGCAATAATTTGTTACGATTTTTTTCAGTGGTTCAGGGATCCTTAATTGGAATAAAAGTAAAAATGGCTGCCCTTAGAAAGGGAAGTAGAAAGGGCTAGTACTGGGATACCAACTAAATAAATACTGTCTCTCATCAAAGAATCAATCAATCAATATTTTATTCAAACTCATGCATCACATCAAATGTAACAAACACAGATGAAAGTATACATTGTTGATAAGAGGCACAATTAAAAAAAATATGTTTTCAAGATTAAAATTGAAGTAATGCCCAAGTCGTAGTTGGCTTATGAGACACTTTATAATTATAAAGAGGCAAGGTAGTTTAGTGGTAGGATGCCAGGCTCGTGACCGATGGGTTGCGGGTTCGAGTCGAGTCACAGCACTGTTTTGTATCTTTGAGCAAGATACTTTTCTCTGCTTGTTCCAGTCTACTCAGCTGTAAATGAGTAGGTGGTTGGGCAGTGCTAGAATTGTTGAATGCTATAGCTGTGAGCGCCGAAATGGCAGAACCGACTGTATGCTCCCCAGGGTGTTGAGAAAGATATTGGCTGGTTGTAAAGGCCCTATAACCACGGATAATAATTTGTAAACCGCTTTGAGACGAACTACGTAATAGGTTGTGATAAAGCGGTATATAAGAACCTGGAATCAGTATTATTATCAATTATTATCTGCAAGATTTACACAATAAAATTTAGTTTCATTGATGAATCTGATCATTTGTGTATAAATTAAAGTTAAACTTTGAGATTACATATTTCCATGCATACTGATGAATCTTATGGAGGACTTTTGTAAACCTAGTTATCAAAAATATGTTGATGCTGATATTTAAACATGAGGGTAATAATGATATTATTTACAAGTTCCATGTTGTCTATTACAGACTCTCAGCCATCCAGTAGATATGTATACTGTTCCAAATCAACAGATGGCATATTATCCTTGTTAGCTCCATGCATTGTCAGCATGTCAGCCAACCAATCAGTGAACACCCTGACCACCTGGGCAGCTAATTAGCATATCACTGTTATATACCATTAATTAGATGCAATATTGATGGCAATTAACTGGGTGGTCCTGATCAGAAGCTTTCAACACACTGCATTTCCTGGATAAAAGTATATCCAACTTCATTTGTCATATTGAATATTTTAAAGTCCTATTTCTTCCCTGAAATTAAATGCCCTTTCCTTCTTAATGTTTTAACTATATTCACATCAAAGTATTGTATTTTGAATTGGAATATTATCTTTTTTTGTGTAGATTGTTTTAGAATTTATGTTAGATACAAAATTTGTCATAATTTATCATTAAGCTAACCAAACTTTCAACGACTAGGGTCCAGAGACCACAGCCGTGGTGTGAAAACTAGCCTGATCAGGGCAAAGACTTGTAAGAAGGATTTCTCCAATGTAACTTGTCATGGGAACTTTTGGATAAAAACCCAAAACTTTCCTGGATAATTTGGGAGTTTTTACTGCTTGTCTGCATGCATCACAATGAGTATCAATTTTTTTTCTCTATTTCGTTTTTTGGTTAGAAATTCAGGGTTTTTAAGTCCTTCTTGTTACCTATTCTGTATCAGAAAATTTGAAAAATTTCCACTCTTCTTGATCATGCGGTAGAAATGCCTACAGATTGAAGCCAGGCAAAATAACTACTATTTTATTTTTCCCTTTGATTCCAAATTTTACATTTTACATTATTAGCAAAATAGAATTTGAAAGTAATGTTTTAAAATCTCTATAAGAAAAACTACAAAATTGATTGTTTTTTGCAAGAAAATATAAATACACAATATTTTCTTTATTTTTTCTTCTTTCAATTTTCCCCTTTCAAAATTAGTTTATAAAAAACTAATTGAGAAAAAAGTAGTTCTCAATCTCATCAGGACTATTTTGCCTTAGTAATAAAGATAGAAAAAGAAAAATGCCTCCCAAAACAACAAAAATGTAACCATGTTTACAACAGAAAATCCTGTTTAGAAAGCAAGATATAGCCTTTTTCTTGCTTATTAACAAAATAATATTTCCAGTTAAATTGTTAATTTAGAGCTTTAAAAGGCAGAATTGCAAATGAGAAAGTTCAATGAATTAATGTATACAAGATATAAGTATCTTCATATATCCTTTTAAATGGCACATGGTTACAAATATTTTTATTGATGGTGTATATGTGGGGGAGTGTTTGAATTATTTTATCTGACTGATCACTGTATATTAGGAGTACACATAACTGGAGAAAATCTATAATGATATAAGTATATAAAATACTTGGTGTTTCATTTCATTGTTTTGGAGGCATTTTTCTACTTATATATTTACTACTAATTAAGGCAACAAAACGATTAATCACATTTTCTTGTTCTTCATAATGTCAAGACTTACAAGTTACTTCAGTATTCAAAACAACCCTTGTAACAAGTTTATATTAAAACAGAATGCTCAATTCTCATGGAAATGTGATTAAAACTTCAGTATTCAAAACAACCCTTGTAACAAGTTTATATTAAAACAGAATGCTCAATTATCATGGAAATGTGATTAAAATAATGATAATTCACGACAGAATGCTTAATTGAAATTCAGATTCAGAGAAATGGTTAG